ACTGGGCTTATAAATCAGAATATAGTTTGGGCTTAACTAAAAATGTAAATGGGTTTTTTAAAATTTAAATATAAATGGGAATATATACATATAAAGACTACTGTTAGAATATACATTTATGTATGTAAGTTCATACTATTCAAGGTTTTGGTAAACATACAGTCGAAAGTTTAAATATAGACAATATTTTTTAGAGAAATTAAGGTTTAGTATACGAAGCGACTCAAATATTCTATATACATGGATTCTAGACCATAGATTCTAGAAGTCAAAATAATACCTACAGTTTAATTATTTCGTTTGGCAGCTAGAAAGCATCATAGTTGAAAAAAAACTATTTGATTTATACATATGTTAAAAAAAATAAATAATGTTTTGTGAAATTCAGGCACTTGTAATCGATTATTTTTTCAAGAAAATTATTGGTCACCAATTTCAATGGCACAAAATTAAGTAAAAAAATAATAATTTTATTCATTCTGCTAATTATTATGAACAGTAGTTGGTCATCGGATATATGTAATTTAATGCTTCCCCAATAAGAATAATCACAGATATTCAGATTTGAAGACATGGTTTACAAAATGAATGGAATCTGAGATGAGCCCAATATTAATTTTTGTAATTATGTATTATTAAAACTAGAAGCAAGCTTTTGCCTTAGTGACAAAATAAGAACTGAAGATGTAAAGTTATCTGCAAAAAAACACGAGCAAATTTGATTGGTGGTGCAAGAATTTTTTCCATGTCTTTAAGTTCTCATAACTACTAGACAAGAAAATACACCTATAAATGACTACAGGAACTTTTGCTAACTTTGGCGACCTAGGTGGTTAAACGAAGCAACTTTGGATCATCCATGGATTTATCGAGTGTTAATTAAGTACATAGAAAAAGTTTAAAAGGCGATTCCTTGAGTGATTTTAAACCAAAACGGTTAATAAACATTGCCATTCTTTCCCATATTTTAAATATATCCAACATTTTTCTTTCTAAAAAAAATAAATGTTTTTTGATATCAGAAACCTAGGTATCCAAAAAACATCTAACCTCACGTTCTTGGCAAAAACAACACGTAAAAAGCAGCTACTACAAAGAGGTCTTTTTGTTTTCACATTTCACTTCATAAGATTTATTAAGAAAAAATTGAATTAGTTTAATACTTTTAAACTAGATTAAAAAATATGAAAACTAGTAATATATAATGTTTTTTAGTATAGATATCTAATAATAGGAGCAAATATTCAAATTATCAACATTTTTGACGCTGTGGTTTCAAAATATCATTTTTTTCTAAAAATGTAGTGTTTATACATATTTTCATTTTATTAATATTTATTAATGTCATACGAAAGTACCTATTGAAATAATCATAAGTACTTAATTTTCAAAATATTCAGTAGGGCCATATTTGGCCCATATTTTTCATCGAATTTTTACCTTTAATTAGATAAATCATCAGCCAAAGGTTTATTATTCTGCAGCAAACACCTTCAGCGATATTTTCGAAACGGTCTCTCTTCGAATTTTTTCTTCAAATTTCGACACCCTGTATCTCGAAAACTATCCATTTGTGGATCTTTTTTAGTATAACCATTTTAGCTTAATATCGCTCAAAGAACTTTTCGTTAAAGATTTCAGTTAACAGCTTGCTTTATGTATTTAATTATAACAGTTAATAATTTTTTAAAATTCACTACACATGAATATTGTCTAAGGTATAATACTATTTCTTCCTATGAGCTGTGTTATATGGATAACACTTTTAGCTAAAATGTACATATACAAAATCCTTCACTTCTTATTTAATACTGACGAATTCATATTGTGTAATTTAGATAGGTGTTCAAAGGTGGCTGAACTTTTTATAACGCCACACAACGTTTCCCCACACAACCGTGCAACTCTGTTAGTTTTGATATTACACTGAGAAAAATTCTTTTACAAAAACAAATCATAATAACCAGCAGGTAAAGCCTTTCTATTTTTTTAAATTTATACCTATACGCCTAAGTTTTAATAACTTAAATCTTTTAAGCATTTATAAATTTAAATACCTTTTTGTTATAGTTATTATCAAGGTATACCTTTTTTAAGCAGAAAAGTTGAGCGGTAAGATATTTCCAGCCCAGAAAGAAATACACGGTGGCAAAAGTTTTGGCAGTTTAAATGCGTCCCAGTGGTCGCTGTGGCGCCCCCTAAACGATACAACGAAATCGTCGATAAATTCGAATTTCTCATCCTAAAAACCTCCGGATACGAATATCACGAAATTGGCTCAAAGTAGTCGAAAGATATTAAAAAAAATGTTATTTATTTTTTCAACATTAACACCCTGTAGCTCCGTTATTATCAATTTTTGGACTTTAAGGCAACTTTAATTAAATCGACATATTTTGAGGCGTACTATATCTGGCGGGGCAATAAAACCTTTAGAGGACACCCTGTATATATACAAGGTGTTTCAGTTCGAGTGAATCAAACTTTAACCACAAATAGAACTAAATAAATAATTCAGAATTGCCTTATAAAGCAAGGGTCTAAGTCTCACCGTCTTCACTGTACAGGGCCGTATTGGTCGGTTGTTAAAATCATATTATTTACGAAATCTTTGGTATGCTTATAACAAATTGATTAAAATTTGGTGTGGTGTTAACTTTTATATATGTGCATAATTTACTGTAAAATTTACACAAATTTTTGTATTTCAGTGGCATAGGAATGGGTAGTAATGTGGGATTTTTTACCCCAACTTCTGCAACAATGACCTAATAATCATTTGGGATTCATTTTTATATTCCGTAGACAATTCTACATAAAAAAGGTATACTTGTTGAAAATCGGTATAGTGTATCGTTTTACCGAAAATCTCAGTTGAATGTTAAAACTTGAATATTCATCTATTTTTTTTACAAATACTAATATTTCAAATCTTAAAAAGAAAATGACAGTTCTTGATGACATATAAGTCTATTATTGCTTAGTTGGTTTTTCATGGCAATCGTTAGTCCGGATGCACAGCGCAGATTTAAAATTAATATGTAGGTGTAATTTTTTAAAGAAATTATATCTGTTTAAAACAAACGGATCGTTGAATGAGCAAGGATACCTATAATTGCTTCAGAATGGCACAAATGAAATTTTAGAGGAGGTGCCATTGAATATAATGTCCACCGCACATATGTAAATGCTATGCCCACACCAAATTTTGATCAATTTGTTATAAGCATACCAAAGATTTCGTTAATAATATGATTTTAACAACCGACCAATACGGCCCTGTACAGTGAAGACGGTGAGACACTGTACAACCGACTTGTACAGTGAAAATGGTGAGACTTAGACTCTTGCTTTATAAGGCAATTCTGAATTATTTATTGAGTTCTATTTGTTGTTAAAAATTGATTCAATTGAACTGAAACACCCTATACATATTTTTTTTTCATATTCCATTCCAATTCCATACGAAAAGGGAAGATACCTACCCGATAAAATAATCCCAATTTTCTTTAGAATTGTTCAATTTTTATGCATGTACTGGAATATCTAAATTATAGAAGAATAAAAAATTAATAGTGTTCTACTCATATTAAGCAGCTTCTTTGAGTTTTTAAGACAATTTGGGAAAAAAGATATGCTGCGTTTTCAAGAATCGGCTGTAATTCTCATTTTTTTGCTCAATTTTAAAAATAATTTCATTGTGAACTTTGTGTGGATTTTTGTTCCAACTATTCACTCTCAAGAAATAATTATTAACTTTACTTTTCCGAGTTTTTATGGTACCTAAGTATATACATTTCTGCATTACATTAGTCATCAGTAATTAAAAAAAAGTGTATGTTAAAAAATTCGTAATAATATTAAGAAACTCGTATTATTTTAGTGAGTTTGTGCAAGTGTAATACCCCACAAATATGTAAATTTACACGAAAACCATACAAAACGACCATCTCCCAGAACCCGTCTGAGAGCTGGAAATCGAAAACGACGACGACGACGAACCCCCCGATGCCATGACCAGGCCCAATTATTTTTTGTCGAAAATATTTTTTGTTTTCTCTGCACCGGGTGGATGACCTACGGTCTGGTTTCGTGGGTCCTAAACTCTTAAATGTTGTAGTGGTCAGTACTAACGCACCTCTCCCAACTGTTCAATTAAATGCGTTGTCCGCAGTCATTGAAAAGCCGCCTGGACAGCTTTAAAAATTCCTTGAAACGCGTAAAATACATTAGAATACCTCTAACTTGAAAAATTCGTCTCGCGAGAGGTGATAGGTGACGATTTTTAAATAACAATTAGTGGATGTGTTATGCAAAGTGAAACAGTGATCTTCAACTTTTGACTTGCTTTCTTTCGAGTCTGTTTAGAAGATTATTGAACTAGAAAGAAGCTTTCGTGAGGAAAATGTCGAATTTTTGCAACGAAAATGAAGCATATGTTGAAAATAGCACACAAATTAAGTACGTGCAGGCAGAGACGTATGCACATCCCACAGAAAATGAGATGAAAATTCTCAACACGAAACCTTTTTGAAAATGTGTCTGGTTCAAATAGAATATGTATACTATTACATAAATTAAATGACCGCCATATTCTACTACGTTCATTGCACGTACACTATACTGAAATATTTTGTGTGCTTAACGTTTCTTTCTCAATTCTATTAACATGTCAGCATAAGAACTGTAATAGCATTTGACCTGCAACTTTTAGTACCTCAAGTGTTGTGTATAACCTGAACATTTACAATGTTCAATACTGTACACTATCCTTATAATAACGTATGAAGAAGACGCCAAGTAACAGAAGAATTTTGCAATTTTGGTGCAGATCCACCGGATACTGGGGAAGAAATATACTGAAAAACTGTGATTTTGCTCTCCACGCCACCATTTTTCTGGTGGACTCGTTTGGTGGCCACTGTGCTTAAAAATCTCCGTCCTCCCCTCTTGTATAAAAGCCCAGTGAATAAAAACCTCGACACTCAGTCGACCTAGAGCCCAGCTAGGGCACCAACACCAAAATCCACTTTGAAATGGTCGAACCAAAGTCGTACTCCAAACATAACGACTTGCAAAAAACCGACAACGTCTTCGTCTTGGACAACTTCTTCAGGCTGGTGAAGTGGAGCGGTGACGATGAGATCATCCTCGACGTGGGGGTTGGGGACGGGAAATTCGCGGTGGAAAAGCTGGTGCCCCTTTTCCCGAAGAAGTTCCGCAAGCTTGTGGGGTGCGACGTCTCCGAGAAAATGGTAATGTTCGCGAAAGACAACTACAAGCATCCTAGGATTGAGTTCGTACATTTGGATATATCCTGTGATGAAATTCCTGTCGATTTTGTATCGGGGTTTAACCATGTCTTTTCTTTTTACACCCTGCATTGGGTGTTCAAACAAAGGTATGTATATTTTTTAAACAATTTAATTATAAAGGACAATGTCTACTGTTTTGGCTATGTTGCCAATTTCTGATGTTGCTATTTCGTTAATAGGAGTAAAAGCTATGCTGTAAATTCAGTGTAGAAGATACAAATGTAGAAAGATATCACTCATAAATCGATATTTGTAAAGAAAATATCATTATTTTTGTAAAAAGATAGTATAGAAGTATTTAAAAGTCATTTTGCAAACACAGACGAAAATAAAGAAAATTCCATCCCATGGATCAAAAGTTTCAGTCAAAGGTTGATACATACTTTTCTCTAATCAAAATATCTTGTGCTGAGAAATTAGTTATACAGGGTGTCCCGCCTAAGAACCGAGACAAGGTAGGTGCATGTAGGGTTGTCCAAAATATTGTAATTTAACCAAACTTACCTATATACAAAGTTATTAGCTCTAAATTTCGAAAAAAATTAATATCTCTGCTACACTTTACCGCAGAAGAACCAAATTTGGTACATGATTTAGGTTTATTACTGATCTTCTTTGACTATGATTTAAAGTTAATTGAAGCACTGCAAGATGTTCATTGGGGATGACTCACCCCTAAAATTGTACCGAACTTTTTTTTCATTGACCGAATTGAAAAATAGTAATATTAATTCACAGCAGAATTTAATTTAATTTTTGTTTACTCTTGTTAAATTTTAAAAAACTTTATGGTTTTTAAGATGATTTTAACAGTGTTCATTAGAAAATAATCAAAAAGTCAGTAGTAGGCTTTATCTTTCAAATTTGACAATTGGCCAAAAAAATTTTACTTCACTTCTCTCCTAATTCTACGAAAAGAAAACAAGTACCTAGGTAGTTTTAAGTAAGTAGTAAATAAGCGAATATTGTATTAAGTAAAACAGACAAATAAATAATAAAAATAATAATTGATATTTTTTCAACAACAATCAGAGGCAATTGTTGAAATAAAATAATTTTATTACTAACTGACAAGTTTTTATGCGGTACACCCTGTATGTTCGAGATTTCTCTATAAGATTGTAACGTTTCGAGAATTGAAAGATGACGTAAATAAACAGTTACAGACAATATCTTAATGTACAAAATTTGCCATTCTTTCTTGTAATGTTAAATTTTTCAAAAAATGTAATTAATTTCTAATGTAATCAGAATTATATAACAGTTTTTTTCAAATATCTCTGAAGATACGTTACACTGTATAGTGAATTTTGTACTAGTAACATTAACTTAAATTAAAAAAAGTTTTTTGGCAATTTGTTTGAAGTATTTAATTCCCAATTATATTTCAAAGTACAAAGTATTTTAACCGAAAACCTCGTCATTTAAGTTATTATTATTATTTATCAAATGAAGTCAAACAATATTCTTCAATACCAGAAATATAGGTATGCAAAAGATATCCAACCCCACAGACTACTGTTTGCCAGAAACAACCTATGGTCTACATGCCGTTGAATTACATCACGCTAATACCGAATAAATAGCTAGTAATAAATAATTATCCGAAATAAAAACTAATGATATGTCTAAATATAATTAATACAAAAGCACGTACGTGATATAATAAAATTGTTAAATGACTTAATTATTCAATGAAACATTCTGTATTCTTGCTGTCCTAGTATCACTTGTGACAAAGACTAATCACGTAAAAAGACAGCTGCTACAAAGAGATATTTTTGTTTTCACATTTTACCTGGGACTGTTTCATCAAGCAGAGTCCTTTCTTGCATACAATTATTAAATTAACAGAAAAAAAATATGTATGTGAACATCAAACTTTAAGAAAAAAAGATGACATTTTGAAACGACAGTAATAAAAGTTTTCGGCCATAACGATGCCCATTATAATTGTTTTTTATCTAAAAAATTATTTTCGTTTTTATTCCTATCTTTAAAAAATATTAGCACTCGTATTTTTTTAACTGTGTGCATACTAAAAATTTTTTTGAATTGGCGTAAAACCTTTGACAATCTTAAATTAAAAATCATAAAGATTTTTTTCTACAAAACTGTTAAAAGTGGGCTATTTAATTGTCATTTTTGATGTTAAAAATGTCATTTTTTGACACGCGTGTTAAAAGTAAGTTACTTTTAACACGCGTGTCAAAAAATTACATTTTTAACATCAAAAATGACAATTAAAAAGCCCACAGTGTTAAAAGTAACTTACTTTTAACACGCGTGTCAAAAAATGACATTTTTAACATAAAAAATGACAATTAAAAAGCCCACTTTTAACAGTTTTGTAGAAAAAATAGTGTATGATATACGTGTTAAAAGTGATTTTATTTTGTTCGTGAAGTTAAAAAACTCGCTACGCTCGTTTTTTAATCATCTTCACTCACAAAATAAAATCTTACTTTTAACACGTATATCATAAATAGCTATTTTTAGATACCAGGGAACTTTTTGAAACAATCTGCATCACTTAATTAGTAAGGACTCTTTTAACTCTAACTTTTATACTCTCTGACTAACGCTAACTCTCTAACTTTTATATAAAAATTTGAGAAATTGTACGATTGAAGTGGATCAAAAAATATATCTACATTAATCTATTGGTATTAATAGGTAGTAACTAATCATGAAAATACTGATAAGCAAAAGCCATTTTTTATACGAAAATTTTTATACAAAAATATGTATAAGTGAATATTATTTGAAAATGAAATATAGAAACCAGATTCTCAGCTCAGAATTAAACTTGATACACAAAATTAATCTCTTGTACAAATATTCTATACTCTGTTTTTCAGACAGGCCTTCGCGAATATGTTCAAGATGCTGAAACCTGGTGGGGACATGCTATTGAGCTTTTTGGCCAACAATCCCATCTATGAAGTATACAATAACATGTCAGAAAATATCAAGTGGAAGGCATACACCAAGAAGGAGTACATCTGCCCATACCACGGGTCCAAGGAGCCTGAGAAGGAGCTGGAAAAAATTTTAGTTGAAACTGGACTGATCAGTCACGTTTGCAGAGTTGAGAAAAGGACGTACTATTTTCCGAACTTGGATATTTTGAAAAGTACGTACAATTTCTTCTTCCAGGGTGTTCTGATTTTAAGAAAACTTCGCAAGGTGTTAACATATTTGTAAGTCAACTTAGCGGGTTTTTACTTCTATTTACAATTAGTGAAATCAGTGGCTCAAGTTTCATCCGTCTGCGTTAAACATCTTCAGAGATATTATAACAAATGTGACATTCTTTCTAATTTCAATTACCTGTACCTCGCAGATGAGTCAAACTACCATCAACGTTCATATTAAACTTATTGCTTAAAATATTTTATTCTACCACCTGGTGCTGACTTAAAACCTGGACCACCCTATGTAATGTAAATCAACCTCTAAAAGCTTTATAGATTCGCCTAAATTTTCAGAATAAAACAGTTTATGCATTAGGCCCCTGTCACACGATACGACATTTAATCGTGCACTGACTCCGACATAAACATAACTGACAATTCCAATGCTTTTTTAAGTAACAATTCTAAAATTGTTCTTTTTTCTTTAGTATCAACAGATAAGTAAACTTGATGTTTCTATTTTTTTTTCAGAATCCATTATTGCGGTCAATCCAATCATACAGAGGCTGCCTACCGAAGAAGTGCCGAACTACGTGGACGATTTCATGAATCAGATAAGGAAACTCAGCAGTGTTACCATCGAAATGGTAAATAATAACGAGGAAGGGGTGCGAATACAGTATCAACTATTAGTAGTCTTCGCCTCTAAGCCTTTGGAGAAATCATAGTTGTAAGAATGGGGTGGTTTTTCAAGGATAGTAATATGTATATTTAAATTTATTTTAACAAGGAACATTTTTGTTCGTTCGAATTAAAATGAATTGGTACTGGGACAAGTATAACGTGATAGAATTAACAGCTTTAGATATGTTGCTTTAATTTTTACGATAGTCTATGAACATATAGTATATTAAATTTTAGTATTCGCGTTCTGTTCAACAGGACGAGTGGAAACTTATTATAACATTGAAGATAATAATAAAATGCATTTTCCAATAAACATATACTTTATGCCATTTTGTCTTCTTAATGTTCCAAAAATTCACTTGATGGCTTTGAAAGACAAAACAATAAACATAAAAATCGTTTAGAAATGTGTATTCATGTTTTCCTTCTGCTTGCTTGCAACCTTTCCTATTTGAATATTTAAAGAAAAAGCGGCAACTTTCAAAATTTTCTGGGTGGCATATTTTCTATACAGTAGCATATAAGTTTTATTTATCACAAATGATCTCGGTTTTTTCGCTTTATTATCCGATATTTTAATCAAAAACTTTGATTCTAAATCATCTATATCCGTTGCTGTATTGCTTTTACTACTAGGTACACAATATACTATTGTATTTAAAAATATATTTTCGAAAATGTCATAAAATGTTGACATTTTAATTTCGTTTCCTAAGAGTTAAAAATATAAAATACTTTAAGTTATTTTCTTTGTTTGAAAATTGCAAATTCAGTTTCCCAATATTACAGAGGATCAAGATTACCTCAAAGCAAAATAATCCTTTCAAACCATGTCTTATTCTAAAGCTGAAATTAGAATGCATTATCAAATATATCAATACTGATAAAACAATTAAATCAGAAACCAGCCACTTTCAAAGTATTCTTATTATAATATAATTATTTCTCGTCGAAATATTTCGTTACGTACCTCAAAAACAAGAACGATTTTGAATTTTTATTTCGGCCACATGTAAAAAAACATCGATAAGATAGTTAATGTAACAAACAATACATTTTGCATTGCAAACAACGAGTCACTTCTTGGAAAAGTGAACGTATGAGTATGTCGCGTGAAACATAAAAGATTTCGATATGCAGGATTAGATTTAAAAAATTTGCAACAGCTAACAAATAAGTTAGTTAGCATAGATCCTATTATACTACCTATTGTGTTATAGCTCTCTCTACTATAGATTTTTAAAGATTTGAACGCAAATATTGAAGGGTGGTACATGGCAAAGGCTTTACTTGATCTCTAAGACTGCAGAAACTTTCAAATTTCATAAAAATCAAATATTCGATATAAAGTGTTTAAAGTTTAATAGCGCAATAAATTCAAAATGAATTTTGTATCAATCTTTGAACACCTTGTACATCTATAGAAGTAGATGCGGCTTGTTTTGTACCCACATTTTTATGTTTCATAAGACATACTGTACAATTGACAATATTTAACACTATGAATTAGTAACGTGAAGCTGAAGAAGCTATCTCTGCGTCTTTTTCTCGGTGTTACAGATGCTGTTTTTCCTGTATCATATATACTCGTAACCGTAATCATCGTCGTAGTCTTCGGGTGTGCAGAAGAAGAATTCAACGAGGTTTAGAATAGGTCCGCGCGAGAAGGGGTTGAGATATCTACCCCTCTTGTCCCTCAGGTAGGGGTACCGTTTGTAGTTGAACATTTCGTTGGTGGTGAGATTCATGCAAGCGTGTAGTATCTGAAAAGTGCATTAAATGTAAGTTTTAGATAATCCACAATGAAACAACATGAGATTTGGTGCATATTCCTTTCATATGTGTACAATGTTTTACACAAAACGAAATTGGCTGTAAACACATGATAACTTGTTCCAAAACTTCATAAAGAAATCAATGAAAATTATAATAAATAAATTCATGAAGTTTTTCGACAACAGGTTTAGTACTTTACACTTTCCAACTTCTTCATCTCACTTCTTCAACAAATTCTTAATATAAAACAGTTATATACAAGTCTTACCGAGGTGCACGTCAAAATCCACCCCAATCCAGAGAAGACAAACGCCTCCAACAACCCCAAAATGTACAGAATGCCAAACCCTTCGATGGCGATACAGTACATGGCAAAATAAATGGTAAATGAGCAGTTCACGGCTATGCTCATTACGAACAAGAAGAACCAAGTCCTGTTCCTCAATCCCACGCAGTTGTAGATGAAAGGGCAGTGATGGTCAAAGTAAGACACGCATCTGTTGCAAATCCTGCAGTGTTTCGCGCGAAGAGGTCGCAGACAGCGACAGGTGTGGCATAGTCTGTTGAGGATGGCGTTGCGTTTCTTCCACTTGTCGAACATCGGGATCTGCTTGATGGATCGGTGATAGGATTCGGAGTTCATGGGGATGTAACCGGGGTTCTTTCTGTTTGCCACGAACCAGCACACCCACATCACGACGTTCCAGTATATGAAGCAGTAGTGGGAGCCCCGGAGGATGTTCCACGTTATCGGTATGCACTGTAGAAGGTTTAAATTAGAATATTGGAATGGTTAAAAATATATAGAATCAAAATTTTCACATATGTTTTTGAATTGAAATAGCAAGATGCCAGAAATGGATATCTTCTTATTAATGTAATGTAATAATGTAATGTCCTGATCAAATATTTCTGACTTAATTTTCTATCGTGCTTACCCTTACAATATACATGGGATAGCCCCAAAGCAGCACCGAACTCATAAAGAATATGAGAGGAGCTTTGGAATTCCCAGCTTTCCCGAAAAGTAGGCCCCAAACTTCATTGACTGGAGGAAACCAACTAGAACTTCGCTTTTTCTCCGTTTGCAGAAGTTCTACAATATCGTTGTGTCTATGACTTTGAGCAAGCATCAACGGAGTTTTGTCGTTCTTATCCAAAGGCTCTAGGTTAATATTGCTCTGAAACAAAAATGACTATTAATAGAAAAATGTCGAATGTTTCTGAAACAAAAGGAGTTCCCCAAGGAACCGTTATTAAGCCACTCCTGTTTTTTATTTTTATTAACGACTTTCACTCAATTCCTTATTCATGCTTTTACCTTTTAATTATTTAATCTACAAATAAAGTCTATTCTCACTTTTTCACACAGCAACTTGACGCAGGTGAGGTTCCCTGACAGACAAGCCAGGTGTAGCGGCGTCGAACCAAAGTGGTCAGGCTTCTGCAAGTTAGCCCCCGAGTACATCAGGAGCTTGATTAGGTCGGCATGGCCTTTGTATGCCGCCCAGTGAAGGGCAGTATCTCCGTTGATGTCCATAAGGTCGTTGGAAGCACCCATTCCTAAGAGGTAGGCGGCAGTGGCGGTTCGTCCGAACATGCAGGCCGTCATGAGAGGTGTGAGACCTTTGAAATCGGCCGTGTTCACTGCGACGCCGGCCTGCAGGAGGACCTGAACTAAAGCTGCGTGGCCTGGAGAAAAAGTAAAGGTGTTATGGAGGATTTTAAAAATATACATCAATAATTATAAACTAATTTAGAGGTTTTTTTAATATTGTGTTGTTACCTTTTCGACAGGCCCAGTGTATAGGTCTCGGGCCTTGAGTACCAAGGCAAGGCAAGTCAATGGGCGCCCCTCTGTCGACGATGTACCTCATGATTTCCACGTTTCCATCAAGAGCTACCCAATGAGCTGGAGTATAACCCCATTCGTCTCTTGCGCGTAGTACTTCGGTGCCGGTTTTCTCGACATATTCAGCTATTTCAGAGAGTTCTCTGAAACGTGTTCAATGTTATAAAAAAATAATTTTTAAAGTGTAGAACATTTGGAATATACAGTAGGAATAACAAGCTGAAAAAAACTGAATATTTCACGCACCATTTAAAATATACCACGTCAGCAAGTTGTAGAAAATCTTTAAAGTAAATATTTTACGATAATCAGCATCGTGACAAAAGGCACCAGATTAGCAACATCTCTTAAAGGAAAGTTACAAACGTTCAGATTTATTTAAAAAATAGCAGATCTGGTATCAAGACACCAAACCTGGCAACACTGTGAACATGTCAAATGTTAACAATTTTGAACATCTTTTGGTAGACAAGTTGTACCTTCCATAAAGGAAGGATTTAACTCTTACCCGGACTTGACCAGGTCGAAGATAGTCCTGTGGGTTTGTTCCGCGATGTCCGCCTCCCCGCCGTCCTTGGCGACGGTGGCCGGGTGGTCGGTGTCGGCCACCATGTTGCACGACGCCGTCTGAGGCAGCTCCCACACGCTTCGGGCGATGCCCGGACTCGGGTACACCTTGCACAGCGTCCTGACAGGTGAGACGACACCCCGAATGAACCAGGAGGATGTAGAATTTATCTCTAGACCGGTTTCGACGGTTGCGGATTTTGCAGGCGCGAGCTGCGGACTGTGGAGTGGGAAAAATAACAGTGTCGCGTGCGGCGGGGGCGGGTATCGATTTTGGGGACGGTGCATGCGCGGGGGTTGCGCATTTTTGGGTCTCACGTGGTCGTGGGGGCGCCTGTAGCTGGATGTGGGGGCGCCTGTAGCTGGATGTGGTTTCTTGAGGCTGAGGGGAAGCTTTGAAAGAACTTTGACAGATAAATTTTTCTATTGTGCAACGTGTATATATTTTTTATATGTCTGTAATATTATGTAATCATGGAGTGAAAATACTAGAAACCTTTTAGAGGTTTTTAAATCATAATTAATTTTTTATGTTTGGGGCGCAAAATAAATGTTTTAACGAGTGTTTGTTGCCGCATTAATTCGTGACGTCATTTAGTGCGATAGAGAAGCGAGAAGAATGACAGGGATATGACGGCTTGAAATATGGGTAGAATAAGCAGGATTTAACTGATTTAGGCGGAAATAAATTCCAATAAAATTTGATAAATATGTCAATAATGGAAGATAGAATAGGCAGACAGGGTACCACGATAGAATGTCGATATTACAGAAAATGCTAAGTGACATCGTAGGACCCACTGATTGTAGAACTAGCACAGTAGTGGCATCATAATTGTCATAAATCTTATTTTGCCTCAGTATTTTCAACTGTGACCCTATTCGTAAGAAATATTTGATATTTTATGTAAAAAACTACTGCGCTACAAGTATGTGTAGTATTTTCGTTGAATTTTTGCATTACTTGGCGACAAATGTTATCACCCCTATTCAGTACCGTATATGACCAATTTTTTGTTGTAAAGTTTGCATTTTTACGATAATTACTATTGGGTTTTTAAGACGGAGTGCAGTGTCACAATAAATGACAATTAAAATAACATTTTCCTCACAACCTACTATGCTTTTTTTCGTAACATGTCAAATAAAATAGTTTTTTCTTTTATTCACTCTAACGGTGAACATTCTGTATGTAGAAATGATTAATATTAACTGATTTTTGGATTATTCTTTCTGTAAGAATTAGTCAATCACTTAGTGATAGAAAGTATCGGTCCCATAACCCATTTTGGATATTTATAATAAAAAATATGTATGTATACACTTGCAATATTTATTCAGTGTTTTTTTACAGTGACCAATTCTGTGCCATTTGAACAGTTATAATTTGAGTGATAAATGTGGTTGTAAAAACTACGAAACATATATTTTTCCAATATATTTAAGTCCTGTGACTGTTCTGCTTTATCTATTCATTTGCCTCAGTACCATGAAATACGATGCCGATCCTCTAACAATCTGAAAAAAGAGTGTATTTTAAAAATACTTTCGTTTCATGGTTGTTTACGTATAAGTCTGCAAGAAGTTCCAAATATTTCTAAATTGACATCTTGTAATTTCATCCAAAGTATGTATATGTCGGGAAATAGAGATGTATTTTGGCTGGATACAACTTCATATTTTATCAATACTTACAGCCATGAAGGTTTGCAGAGACAGTAACGCAAATTTGCCAGCAGTAAACCTTATCGGTCTCTGGGCTCTCATCATCATCAGCAATAGAGACTTCTTGGTGGAGTTGTCCAGCACTAACCAGTCTGAGTTGTATAAAGCTTCCGAGAATTTTTCACTCTGTACCATGATCTCATTCCCGTAGAAACAGTAACAGAAGAGTTGGTACATCAAAAGTGTTAAGTAACAGCACATGCTGATGAAGTCGAAGCTAAGAACATTGGCCATCTAGAAAATAAAATATCATCACAGGTGTTTCTATTGAATAAGTTATGGAGTCTTCAACTTATTAGTGAGATACTCACCAAGCTAAGTTGGTACAACTGGAAACACAACGTGTAAAGGCTGAACAGGAACTGTGAAAGCATTAGATAGGAAAATTCCTTTTCTACTTTTTCACAAAACTCGAGAATGTGTACATGGTGCTTTGCACAATTGTGCACTATTTCCCTAACTTTTTCCTGTACAGGTTCAGATAGAAAATCTATCCTTTCATAGCCTACTGGTAGAGATATGACTCCGTTGCGGATATCTTTAACTCCTTTGTCTAGAAGATTCTTTGAAACCATATTTGTAGCAATAGAGACATACCTTTCCAATACACGCTTCAAGATAAGATACTGAGTGTTCATGTGAATCATCATACCATATACCATGGAGTCCATCATGCCTATATAGTACCCGTATAAGGTCAAAGTGAACGCTTGGAAGAAGAAAACTATTTCGAAGATGGGACTTTTGGTGGTTTCAATCGGTAACCAAATTCTGTAAGGGAGAATTCGTGTATGAATAGGCGTGGTAGTGTTGAGTTGTTCATCGAAGAGTTCATCATTATATCCTGTGTCGAAGAGGGCATAAAGGCAGCGGATAGATACTATGGAGTAGACTATTAAGTTAAATATTTCTGCCTGAAAAGTACAAGTTTATTAAAAAGCTTGAAACTCTTAGTATAATCTCGGAATGGTATTGGTATTTCTGAAAGTGAGGTTTTGATTTTTGTAACTACATATTTATATCAAATGAAGTAGAATAAGTATTAGATAAATAGCAGTTCAAGGTCTAAACAGAAGCAAGAAAAAAACTTCAATTTTAATTCTCCATAAATTAAAATCATGTCCGCAGGGTCGTTATTATTGTATCTGTGAGCATAATTATTATTAAATTTGTCAAACGTTAGAAATGAAAGTAAGCATTGAAATTTTTTCACGCGGTAATACGAATGTATGATTAATATAATTATAAAACCGATATCGGAAACTTAAAATGTAGATGTCTGCGATTTGAGTAATTCTTTGTGAATCGCATTGTTTTTACATCAGCTATAAATCTCGTAAAATTAAAACCCCACTTTTGTATGCAAATGGTATTTACATGTCTGGCACATCTTGTAACGGCAATATTAATCAAGCGGATTTCTTCTTCCCCTCCTCTCTCGATCTTGGGTAAGAAGTCACCCGATTCTAGTTCATTCAGCATTTCTCTGACTTTTTTCTTCTTCACAATGAGTATTATGATTTTTGCTAAACCTGAAAACACTCAAGTCAAACTCAAAACGTTAATTGTCGATATTTCGTTGCATTTGTTGTGTCATCTTAACGATAAATTTTGAAATCCATATTATGAAAGATGAGTATATTCTACCACAATAGTGGCAAATCTCAATCTGTCATAAGACTTCACTTAAGAGATGTTTTGATTCTATGTGTAGCAACAGTGGTCCTAAATCGAGATGGACAATACATAAGAAGAATAGATGTAACTTTTTATATATTGTCCGAAAATTAATAGTAGATATCTTGTGTTTTGTAACATCTTATAAATCGTTAAAAGATTTATTCAAATTTTAAACATAGACTTAAGGCATATGGATATTCTTCCCTCTTTAAAGAGCTATATTTTTTTTTGTTAAGAATTTTCTATATTGTATAATAAAATCTTTTATTTTTTATTTTGAGAATATCAGAAGAAGATTTAGAAACACTTGGTTTTAAGTTCTGTTAATTTAAATTTAGTAGATATGTGGCATAAAACAACGTACCTAATAGATGAGTAGCGCTATAGCATAGGCCAAATGTCATACTGTTGAAATCTGAGGTATTTAGTATATCTATTACTTCTAACAGAGTATATAAGACCACGAATCCTATAATAAAAAGAGACCATAGTTTATAAAAATATTTATACCATACATTTTTCACGGGGATGATATCTACTCCTAGAACCAACAACCACTTCAGGTGTTTCTTGAAGTAGGGAGTTTTAAGTTCCATCTTTTTATGAACTGGTTTTGGGTATTATACCAAATCAAATGAAGTTGTTATAAAGACATCCCGGTACAGATTTTTTTACAGGAAGATATAATAGTATATAATCAGCAAAATAACGGTGCTGCAATGTGTTATTAAGAAGTCTTCTGTTGTAGTTGAAAAGTTTTCCAAGTAATTTGTTTGCCTAGTACATGTAAAAATTTAATCTAGGACATCTGTGTTTAATACAGTGGATTTGTACTTGTTTTTTGAATCAATAATAAGTTATATGAATACAGGGTGTAAAGGAAAAAACGCAAAAAGTTGACACTACTTAAATCTTGGGGAAAAATATCTTGAATCGAGAGTTTTTAATCTTAAATAAAGTTAGAGAGCGCTACTGCATAGTTGTAATCTGAGATCCATATTAAAATATGACAGACAGTTACTACGCTTTTTGAAAACTAATGTACAAGGTGTGTTTTAAGTCTATATTGTAACACATTGGTATTACACATCTGTCAACTAGTGGCGGAAATACTGTATTGAGTATTTTTAAATTCAAAGGTTTTAGACCGTTGGTTGATTAAAGCTTTTTGGTTCAAAATAAAAACTCCCTTCTAAGATAATTTTAAAGACCATTACACTATTAAGATTACAATGAGGATTATTACCTCATTTAAAGTACTTACAAATTTTGTTTTAGTGTTTTATAGCAAATCAGTAATGACAAACTAATTTACATTACATGTAATTGGTGAAAGAAACACCCTTTATATTATATACATTAGGAATAATTGATGATATGAAGTAATACAGGCATGTTGAATTACCTATTATGAATTGGTTCATTATGTTATGGTCATAAAATATGGTAATAAAATTAGAATACAAAGAAATATCTGATGTTTTGATATACAGGATTTCCCAAAATGACGTGTACAACGGAAGACCACAGATTCGTGGACTCGAAATATTCGAATTTAGGCTAATTTACCTATATCCGAAATCGCTTGGTTTGGCTTCTAGATGGCCTCAAAGTTCGTGAAATTATTTTGAGTTCGTTCTGTAAATAACTCGATTTTGGGGTAACACAGAGTGTTTTTTAAAACTTACTTACTTATGACTGACATATAAGGCGGATCACCTCGTACATAATATTTTGTTTTTTCTTCAAATCAGGTCAGAATATAAAAATAAATAGTACCCGTCAAAATAAATCCAAGGTTAAAGTAGGTAGCAGCTTTTCCGAATTTAAAACTGTTAGTGGTGTTCTTCAAGGTTCTGTTTTAAGACCCAATTATACCTGGTGTTTTTATCTATGTTGATAACGAACTGCACAGAGTAAAGACTGGTTGGATTCTCTAATTTTAATAAATATGTTGTCTTACAAGGAAACGATAATCCTCATGAAGTTGAATTATTCTATTGACTATACCCCGCTTGTTGAAGTGGATAAGGTCTACATTGAATGTAAAATATTAATATAAAAGACGCTCAAAACTGTTAGTCTACTTGAAAGTGATTCAAATGAATACCTCCAAACAAGTTTTAAATTTTGACGAAAGAACAACCTGTTTTTGATTGTTGAGCAATATTTAAAAAATATTAGAGATTTGACAGATACAGTTCGCAGTTATGATCGGTGGTCGAAATAGTGATCCTTTAACAAGTCGTTCAACACAAATATCAGAACAGTTCGTGAGAGTGTTGTTGAGACTCCAGGAACACCAATTCGGCACTGTGGTCAAGAATTGGACATTTCAAGAACAAAGTTCAATTGTCTCGTTGAATGGATTGTGGAACGCTAACAAATGGATACTTTTTTTCATCTTGATGGCTTCGCCAATCAACAAAATTGTCTCATTTGGGGTTCAGAAAATCCACTATTTGATTGTTGAGAAATAAATGCATCCACAAGTTTCACTGTTTGGTGCAGATTTTGGGCTCGAGGCACGAGCGCACCATTCTTCTTCGAAAATGAGGCTGTTAAGGCAATAGTTAATGATGCTCGCTATCGCGACATGATAATCCAGTTTTTTATGCTTATATTGCAACATATGGATGTAGACGACATGTGGTTTCAACAAGACGGTGCCATATGCCATACAGCCCGAGAAACAAAACAATTCATTTCCTGGTCGTGTAATATTATATTTATATGTCTTTTTTAGTTTTTATTTTGGATAATTATTTATTACTATATTTTGCAAATCTAGATTTCTAGCATCGAAGAACGTTGTTCGACTTCATTTGACAAGATTTATTATAGTTTTTAATTTGGTTGCATTGGCTAATACCTTAAATAGACCAAGGACGCTAAATATATAATTGTTTGGGTATTGAGCTTGTGATCAACCAATCAGAGACATTCAACATGCATTGCGACGCTGCATGTAATATTTTCAGCAACGGTGACGTGGTCAGCCAGACGTAAGCAATTACAAACATTCGTATCAACAAGTAACCCCATTACGACCTCCCCATCCCCATCTGAAATCGAGTTCAGACATGCGCGGGCGACAACGAACCTCCGCGTAGTAAGTGGTTACACTGCATCTTCCTAAAAACCAAAAAATCCGGCTTAAAAATGATTCCGAACGCTAAAGTTTCTTAACAAATCGGTCTACATACAACACCTAGCTAGATCCGAACAGATAATTATGTGTGAGTAGCGCAAAATACAAACAAAGCGGCGGAGTTCGATCGATACCACGCCCTAGGGGCGCTACGATGAGCTGCAAAGTGTCTCCAAGGCCCAGAAAACGTAAACAAAAGGAAGAAATGAAGGAACAGATTGTGGCACAGGTGCACAAACCAGTTAAATCGAATACGAGCTCCGAAAACGATTACGCCAACTCCGAGGATAACTTGGAGTCGAACAAAACCTACACGTACGAGGATAAAAATGAGAATATCAGCGTCCATACGCCTAGCCGAGATGTGTCTGTGGATGAGGAGAGCCAGATTAACTCCAAGATCCTTTCCCTCATTGAAACCGAGATGAGGAGGGACATCAACAAGCATTCACACTTCACCGATTCCAGGCCGCAGAGTCTCAGTTTCTACGAGGATGAGAAGGTGCCAGAGGAATTATCAGGTGAGGAAAATTTAAAAATCGTTAGATGTGTACAAATTTTACTCAGAAAACTGCGTGTAATATTGGGAAGAATATTCTATTCTTATCCTTACGGCATAAAAGAACTGTCATATCCGAATAGCTTTAAAGGGCAAAGGTCAGAAGTAAACAAAAGGAGTGTAGGAATAAAACGTATAAGTTATACTAGCTCTTTGACCTTTATTAAAAAAATAGAGTGTGGGGAAATGAGAAATCAATATTTAATATTATTAATACTAAAAATAATATGTTTAGATAATTATTTTTGACGGCTAGTATTTAGATTTTAGTATAAAGATTCGAAAACACCTTTTTTATTATTAGGTACTTATATTATTTGTATCTTTAGCAATTCTAAAAATAAGAATTGTCTTGATTAATGCATTGTGGCTGGAATTTCAAGTAGGAGTAATTTTTTTTTTAATGTTTGACATACTATTTAATAATTTCAACAGAATATCTGGTTTGTTTTTCACATACGTTTAAAATATACCTACTGTGTGTTTTATTTAAGAAGTAGCCACTCTTGTAATTTATTTATTGACCTATTTTCACGAACTTCTTTTTTGTCATACTTTATATATGATATAATAATTTTTTATTGGGTATTTTGCTACTTTCCATATTCTTAAAAACCGTTTCAACAAAATTGTTAGGATACTGATTGTCTATTAGTACAATTTCAATTCATTATTCAAAATTTCATCTTTTGAAGAAATCAATGTGGTTCTATCATACAAATAGGTACCTATTTAATTACAGAATATTTCTTTATATTAATAAGACACTTGTTTATAAAGAATTGCCATTTTTTTATTAAAATATCTAAATAGGTTAAATAGTAAATTTAATTTTTGGTACTTTGCAATTAATATTAACTAGAAAATATTTAAGCTTTGTTTTGGTTCCGCCAGAGAACGATTCTAGGTCGATTCAAATCAATTGACCATTCCATTCATAAGAACATCTAAGCCAAGACATACTGACAATACACTTGGGTAACTATTTTGAACTGTTCTAAGTCTGTCCGCTGACAGAACCAAAACAGGCCACAGGCAATTCCTCATTGGTAAAAGGCCAAATTGCAAAAATACTGTCTACATACTTCTATCAAAATTTTACTTAAATTATAAACACAGTTTTCTTCCATAATCAATAAAAATATTACTTAAAAATGGTAATAATAAAGACCCCATTCCGAAATATTGTAAATTAATTATTTAAATAAAAATATGTAGTTTTTATACATGACAAGAGTGATTGACCCAAATATCAAACTAAAGTTCTTTTCAAGACTTTGAATGACATATACATTTTTATATAAATAAATTCTCAGCAATCGCCATTTTTTTAATTAAACAATTAGCTCAGAAACTTCTGAAAATATCTAAAAATTATATTGTCCACATTATTAATTGTTAATAGCTCACATATCTCCAGTACCAAATACAAAGTATCTCAAAGTATTATCAGAACAATGCATAGATTATTATACGATTTTGCTTATTATATTATATTTCTTTTTTATAATAAAAGTTTAAAATTCCTCGAGCCACACCCTAGTGGATGCTCATAGATTGTAAGGACATCTAAAAATTTCTTTCAAGCTAGAACTGTTTCTAACGGGATTCCTCAAGGTTCTACTTTAGGCCCATTATTATTTCCAATTTATACGTTACAGTTAATAAAGTTTATTAAATTCTGTTCACTACATATGTACGCAGATGATTCTCAATTAGGTATATTACTCTTTTTCCGAAATCAGCTTTATAAAAAATGAATGCTGATCTGAAGTGTCTATCTGAAGTCTATATTCAATATTCCTTTGATATACATCCAGATTTACAGAATTTTAACAATGTAGAACTCGGTAGGCGCTGCTTAAAATTTTCTAAAAGCGCTATTTTTTATTGAAACACTAATTATAAGTTTCAGCAAATAGACTAAATAGTTCAAAGAAGAGAATTTAACGATATTTAAGTAATATTTCCACGATTAACTTCCTCTCTGCCTTTTTTTCAGGAAACCTTGAGCTGCTCAGCCCGGAAGAGCGCAAGCACTACAAGAAGCGGAAAGAGTACATGCAGATGGACACGGAAGAAAGGAACGCCTACAACGTGATGCAGGACATCTACAACTCCAGGGACTCCGAGGACATCATGGCATCCTCGACGAAGAAGTCCAAGTCGCGCAAGAAGCGCCACGCCGAGTCCGAGTTGGGCATGGGAGACAGCCGGGAGATGATGATCCCCAAGGAGAAGCGCAAGAGCAAGAAGAAAAAAAGAGACGTCTCCCCAATGGCGCCCAACAACACCAAGCGCAAGCACAAGAAGCGCGACGAGGACTATGAGCTCCGCAATGATATCACCGTGGCCTTGGAGGAGCTGCAGGACGACGTCTTCGAAAGCAATCACGAGGAACCCAGCAATAAGCCTGAGAGGGTAAGGAAGAGCCCCAGGAGGTCGGACAAGTTGTATGTCCAGAAGAAGAACAAGTTCGAAGCCGTTCCCAAGCCACCTAATACATATCTCAGCAGGCAAGGCGCCCAGGATTTTGAGGACGGCAAGTTTGGAAAAAGGTAAGGGGACTCTTGGTCTAGTTGTGGAGTTTGGTGAAAGAAAGCATAAGAAAATCTTGATCACCGTAAATTTACGTTTTCACGATCCATTTTGGTTAGGGAAGCTTAGATACTCGTATATGATGAAATATTGTTGCGAAAAAATCCTGAAAAGTTAATTAATAGTAGCGTTCTATATTACTGCCTAGAATCTAAATGCTCTAGGAATGTCTCTTTTTCTTTTCATCTGTTGCAATTAAAAAATGATCCAATATATCCTAAGTATCTAAATGTTTAATATCGAACTTGAATTCACAAAGCATAAACTATATAGAGCGGTAATAGGATTATTGTCAGATATAGAAATGGTTTAGGGACAAGCATGGTGCTATATAGTGTATTTTGCAAATGTAGTGTATTTGGGTTAAAATTTAGGTGATATTGTCAGAATGTTTTATGCAATCATTAAGATGTATGTAAGCTCTGGTTTAGAAATAAACTTGTTTGGAAGTATTCTATTATTATTATTAGTAACTTACAGTCTGTAAAACATTTAGCTTATTGTTGAAGAGCTAAATGCTCAATGAAAGAAAAATAACTTATGACCGGGTGCTGAAACTTTTAAGCCAACTCTATACCAGAGATTACACTTTGTAGTTTATGCTTTGTGCTTGTTTTATGGCTAGTCATGTTACAGTGTCAGTAAGTGAAAATTGACGTTGACAGTTTCAGCAGCATTATTCAGAAGAACTATTTCAAGAATTAAAGAAGGAGTAAAATTGAAATTGTGTCGATTGTGACGATTTCATAGACTTGTGTTATCATGTAAAATTTTTTTAATGATCAAATGTTTAGAAATAGTAATATCTGTTCATATAGCACTGGTAGAAAACAGTTTAAGGGGACATGGAGCAAGTTGTTTATATTTTTATTTCTTTAACAAAAATATGGTTTTAGAAAAAAATATCAATCATCATTTTAATTGCATAAGTCTCTTGTGGTACCTACTTTTGTTTTCTCCACAAGTAACTGTTAATTTTATACCAAATTAGAACGTATTGCTTTATTTTCGTCTACTTTACAGTTTTATTCACATTTTCATTTTCTAGGTACGACATCAGTGTAGACTCTAGAGTACAAACAAAGTACGACAATTGCGTGCAGTACAATCTTAGATATTTAAAGGTTATCTTTGATTTCAGGAGTTCAACATATCCCTTAGAAATAGCGATCCTTTTCCAAAGATGGTGGATGCGCATGTCGACCTTGAGCCACGGCCTACTAGGCGGTTTAGCCTTGGGACACTGGTTGTACTTAATTTGCAACATGCGCAGACAGGATGATGACTTTTTGATACACTACGCTTATTATAGTGATACATATGTGGGCCTGTTTTTCGCGATGTGTGTTTTATGTATTGTCTCTGTCTACGATAGGTAAGTTACAATGTTCTCATTTTCATTCCAGTTCTAAATAGGGTGCAATTTTAAATGGGGGCCAGATTTAAATATTGGGCTTAAACTTTTGTCCACGCCGTTACCAGGCCGATCCCGCACTGGATTGTATGTGCGCTTTTATTAATGTTGCCTGTTATTACCTTTTTAAACAGATTGTATGAAACAGACTGTTTTCGTGCGTCTTTGCGACACGTTATTTAAAAAATAATTATCATTGAAAATGCAGTAAGTGTTAGTTTTTACTGGAATCAAAATCTAATTTATATAATGTAGTGTTATTTTATTGAATTTACAGGATATAAAAATCCAACATAAGGTTAGAAAAATTAAGTTTTCATTTTAGAAAAACAACTTACGTCATGTGTTTCTAAAGGTCAAAGGGAGCCTCCGTATAAATATGACACCCATTCAGACTCATTCCCTGTATGTTATCATTCACCAAGGTGTCAAATTATTTTATTGTTATCACTAAAATAAGGCAATAATCGCATGCGAGTTCTAATATTAGAATCTGTAGTTAAATAATCGGTTGATGTGACTGTGACATCTGTTAAGTTTGAATCTAACTTTGGTGTTGTTTTAGGATTGACATAGGTCATCTAGAATTTAAAAACATGAGAGAAATTTGGAAACACAAGAAAGGACTAATGGTAGTTGTTCTCTATATCACTTGTTTGATTGTGCACTTATCCACTGCTGGATACGATGAGCAGTTGTCCCTTCTGTCGTATAGCAACGCGACCATAGCTAACGTAAGTCATTTTGCAATGTTCCTAATTAGTGGAGTCAAGATAGCTTAAAATTACGCATTGTTTCGAAATAATTATGGGAAGCATGGATTTTCCTAAAACTTTTTGAAATTACTTGAAGATAAGTATTAGAAAAAAGTTATAAATTTATTTTTGCACGCTAATTGTTTTTTAATTGTTTAAACAATAATAAATAGTTTTTTTAAGAACATTTAAAATAATTCAATGAATTTTAAATCGAATTATTTCAAATTGACAATATAGAGGTTTCCGATGTCGCTGAACAAGAATATGAAGTCGGAAAATGATAATTCAAAATGGCTGATCCAATATGGCCGACTATTTTGAACAATTTATTTAACAATTATCGATTTTAAATCAAACTCGCTCATATTTGTAATATAGAGGCTCGAAAAATGAAAATTATAAGTAGCTAAAGAGATTTTATTGAAAATATGTTTTAATTTTTAAAAAACAAATTTATTACAAAATAATTATTTTTTAAATCTCATCGAGTTCTTGCTCTTCTTCAAAAATAACTGGACAATTAAACTTTAAGCCAATAAAATTAAAAAAAAATTGTTTTTAAATACAAAATTACAAAATCAAAATCAACGTCCCCTATTTATTTATTCATTAATTATTTTTAAAATGGATCAATATTCATATATAAATTTTAAACTCATACATTTACAGGTTTAGCATAAAAGAAAACGAACCGTAAATGCAAATTGAAGATTATTTGTAATATTAAGTAATAATATTACACTAAAGAATTACAAGTGTACGAGAGTATAACCCCAAAATGGACAAATTATGTGAATAATACACTTTTTAACAAACTGATAACTGCAGCTTACTCGAAAACATAAAAATCTTACTCTTATACCATTTATAATAATTATTATTTAATTCTTACAATCGAAATACGCTTTTAAAATAAATAAAACTGTAAGTAAAAAAATATTTGGTGTGCTCACTGCTTAGCTTCGTCACCCAAACTTTCAAAATTCCCCTTTGCAAGCAAGGCTATTGTATATACATATTTCTATGTAGTAGTATACACCATGTGCGTGCTATACTCTCCGAGCAGGTTTCGAGCTTATATTCACAATTTCAGATACAGAATATACTTTTTAAAAATGAATATTAAATCAATTCATCAAAATACGTTATTTTTTTGCTGTTATAACAATTTTCCACTTATTACTATAAATTAAAAAAAATATTTTTCGTTGGATTTACTTTTTTTAAGGTCTTAACTTAATTCTTTGATGGTTTTTTAAACAAAAAAAAATTTTTTTGTACATCACTAAACTTTATTTAATAATAAATTTCACGGATTTTTCATGAAATATTTTTATTTTTTGTTACTTTTTGTTTTTTCAACTATTATTACAATTTTTTAAGAAAAATAAAATGCACCATCTTAAAGTAGAGATTTTAAGCTTTAAAAAGTGCTCTAATAAAGCTTCAATATCACATTTATTATGGTTTTTGATCTATGGCCTAAAAAGTCAAATTTGTGATTTTTAAAAATTATTGACTCAATATTTTTCAAATTAAATTAAAAGTTTTTTTCCATATCGCTCACTGTTTCAATCGTCATTTGAAGAGTAATCTGTGAAAGTTACAGATATTTATTTTAAAAATTATAGAATGACGTAACTTTGTACGTATGTACTATATTTTTTTCTCAAGTTTAAAGACATAAAATTTTGATAGCGGGATGACTCTTCTTTTATTTAAATTTTTGTGAGGTCGATTTGATCAATTAAATCAAAAGTTATAACAAATTTAGTGTAGCGCGCTCGGAGCCGCGCGCTCTGCGAGAGCTATACTTGGGGGCCGCCCGTCTCATTTTTCGTACGTTAGAGAAAATTAGAGAAAAAATTCTACAGCCTTCAATCCGCATTTTAGAAAAAAACATTATTAACATTTTATATGTAAAATTTCCTGTTCTTTCGAATGGCGCTGTTAATTTTTTTTAAATTATATTTTTTTATACAGGGTGTATCTAAATAACACCGAAAAAATTCAAGGGGCGATTCTCCGATAAAAATTAATAGGGGTCTTTGGTATAAAATTTTTTGAAAAAACCTCCCCCTGAAAAGTTACGCCCCTCCTAAAATTACAAAAAAAAATTGTTTTTCTTTTTTATCTTCCATGTACATCAAGCTAAAGAAACCAAACTTGGTGAACATTATCTGTCAATAAAACTACACTTTTTGAATTTTTTTCAACCCTGAACTATTTTTGTAAGGGGTTGAAATAATCAACCCCTATGACATTTTTTCTTATAATTTTTTTTTCGATAAAATTTTTTCCTTTTAAAAAATATGTCTAAAAAACCCCATTCATT